AGTTTTTAAGATTGATCTGCTGGATCTTGCTTTTTCAACACGTAGTCTCTCTCATCCATTCTTCATCTCTCACCATATCTGACTTTAACTTGGTCGAAAAGTCAGAAATAGTACTCTTTTTCTCATCACTATATCTTGCTTTGTGGAAGATGGTTTTTGTGCTAAATTAGAGATAGTTAAACAGTAGGATTTCTGCCTTGTCGACCAAGCTAAAGTCAGATATAATGAGAAATGTCAAATTACTGAAAGAGACTGCCTGTAGGAGAGAAAAATCAACCTTGTCTGTCAATAAATTAAGTCTTAGTGCCTAAAAAATTGTGTCTCATCGTCTCAAAATGTCTCAAAAAATACGTCCAACACTGATGCGCTTGCGTCTCAATAAAATATGCCTTGACTGAGACATTTGAGACGAAATTTTTACGGGTAGGTAGTGCTATTGTCACCTCTAGAGGTGTCACCAAGGAGCTATTGTCATCTTCAGAAGGTGTCACTGACGGCTATTGCCACTAGAGACCTGCACGGGTTAAGAAAACCTAACCCGAACCGACTGCCAAAATGCCGATCCGCACCCGACCCGACCCGATGAAAACAATCTCACCAGAAAACTGTATTTGAGAAAGAATATAGACTTGCCTTGTTAGATAAAAGTTTTTCGGTGCATATTGTAGAATCTCGTAGCTCAAAAAATATTTTTGAACGACTTCTGATTGGTCATTTTGTCTAAAAGGTTAATCTATTGAAAATTCCTCAGTACACTTTGTCAATAGATTATCTTAACTGAGATGATGACCACATCCTTTTCTCACTGGTCAGTCGGTATCACCTAATACTAAGATAGCAAGTAGAGAGCATTATAGTAAAGTCTTCTATGTACGGGTGTTTAAAACAGTACATTGAGAAAAAGCAGTAAGGGATGTATTGCCNGATGTATTGCCATTGATTTCAGTGCAGGAAGCACTCTCTTATGTGCAAAGAAAGCAATCATTAATCGACTTAGTGAATGCAGTTGTTCTGAAACAAGTCTTTCAACTGGAAATTCTAGTAGAGATAACTTTCAACTAGTAATACAAACCTAAAAATATTCTTTATATTTTAAATTGCATCGCCGAATATTCAATCCGAACCCGACCCGACCCGACAACATCTTAACCCGAACCCGATCCGACAGTATCTTAACCCGAACCCCCCCTTTGTCAATAACAGCGATTGCCACCTTGTAGTTACTGACACCTTCGGGCATAGTAGTAAACCAGAAGGTGGCTATAGCCATTCCGAATTTTTATTTGAGTGCAGTCAATGAAACCGTTAACTGTTTTTCAATAATCGCTAGCTGTTCCGCCGGCTAGTACCTGAAACAATTTTGCCCTTGCTCTAAGCAAGTGTTACAGTCTAACAGTCTATTTTTTTCTGCAAAAACCACAAAGCAACCAAATAGCTGGTTGTGCAAAAATACTGGCTTTTCTTTCAGGTTGTTTTGGCTCCGCCGTTCCCCTCGATGATATGGAAAAGTGATGGAAACTCTTCAGATGCTTAATGTTCTGTAAGAACTGTATTTGTAAATAAATAAGTAAACTCACAAAACCTATCTTTCTGTGTTTTCTTTCTCTTTTCGGATTTTAGCATTATGAACAATTTAATAATGATAATACCTGTAATATCTGTCTCACACTAAAAAATAATGTGTCGCATGTGTCGCAAACTACGACATATTCTGCGACACCGGGAGCCGCTTGTGACACATTCCGCTGGGTATTTCTACCATAGAGAAAACAGTAGAAATTAAGTATTTTCGATCTCTTATTCGATTTTAAGAATAGTTTTAGTTCATTTTGCGATGCTATACGTAATGTCAACAAGCTCAAGCCGCCGGTAATATTCACAGACTTACAAGATATTTAGTTTCCGAGATCTGGGATTAATGGCGTAGTCAAAGCCTCTGATTGGTTCTTTTTCATTAGAGAAAAAATGTTTAACGTAGAAAATAGTTAAAAAAGACCAAGAGAGGGATCTTTATCCACTAAAAACACCAATTCGAAATTGAAAACACTTAAAAAGTTCGAAAATTTTCTTATCTTTTACGTATTAGCGCCACCTATAGCACATCAAAATTGAAAAGAAGCCGAGAAAAATACCAATGAAGACTGCTGAAAATAGTAAAACATAAAATTTAGAATTTTTTTGAAGAGAGTAGATCCTGAAATGACCTCAAGAACTGTGTCTGAAAGTTCTTAGTAACGGCAACACAATTATGCGACACATCCTTTTGCAGCACAATTTTCTCACAGAAGCTGCGACACATTTTACTGCCACACAAAATGCGACACAATATTTTTTACTGTGCTTGTTTGTATTTACTCGCTCAACAAACTCGATTTTATCTGACACTAGAGGTATAGAAAGTTAGAAAAATGAGCTATCAGCTATTTCTCCCTATCTCATTTTACAGTTTCGAGTACAGTACCTTTCTTTTATTCCGTTTTTCGAATTTCATTAGTGGAAGAGAAAGATTATTTATTTGTTACGCAGATGATTAGTTCAAAATCTAGTGTTCATCTGCACATCGAGTTACGTCGAGACGAGTGTCAAGGAGAAACGGTCCCTTTTATAAGTGGCTAATCATCTGAAAAGTTTGTTTATACATTAGTAATAATAGCAAAACAGGACTGTGAACGTAATAAGCCAAATCAAAAATAATATCGGTTAAAAAGACGGATTCCACGATTGATCATTTTTATGTCATATCTATATCATAATGGGACATAAATCACGCATTTGTACGCATTTGTCATTGAAATGATGTAATTATTGCTATAAAACCTATTGCCTCATTTTATAATCATCCGTAGAACATAGAGATGATCCAAAAATGACTCATTTATGTCCCATTATGATATATTTATGACACAGAAATGAGGTTTCGCCAAATCCGCTTCTCGACCCTTACATTTATGGTCTGAAAATTGCTCATAAATGATCCTGAAATGATTTGTATAAGATTATATATTTCGAAGGTCATACTAGGATGATATTTATTCCATAAAAAAAATGACATAGTTATCACTACATCACGATACAATAAATGAGATGAATATGAGATAAATATGATTCAAAAATGAGCCATATGTGGCATATAAATGAGTCATTTATGGCTCATTTTTATGCCCTGGGTAATTCATCAATACTAATGGTTTGCTCTTCTATTGTGATGTGGTTTGCTGCTCATTAATGAAACTTATTTTCTTTCTCATTTTCTCCTAGGTAAGAATAACGACCATCACCTATTAGAGAATAAAAAATATATAAGCGATAACCGCCTATCGCCCAGGCAAAAACGACCCACTTTTTGGGTTATTTATCTAGATCCAGCTCCACGTCCATCTAGATGCATGTCGTGCTAAATCTAGATAAATAACCCAAAAAATTGGGTCGTTTTTGCCTGGGCGGTAAGGTACACGATAGACGAAAGAAAATGACAAACCTATAATAACGCGTCACTATCAGAATAGACCGCAAAATAATTATCGAAAACACTGTCGTCTCATCACTACCGGTACCCCCTCATTTTACAAAAGACATCGACTTTTGGGTTAAACATGTTATATTATAGAGTCAAGTGTCCTTCAGCACCATTCTTCTACAGTAGGATATGTTCAGTTCAACATCCAAAAGTTCATGCTTGGGATTTGAATTAATTTGCTGCATGAGGAAACAACATCATCGAGATACTCCTGCAAGCAATTCAAGAAATATTTGTACTTACTTTTCAGTGTTTCTCACGAACAATGAAGGTACACAACTGTACTGCAAGGTCGGGTAAAACTAAAATGTAATAAATTTGACGCGTATAATCTAACATCGCATATGCTGCATGCATCATTGAAGCGAATAGTCAATAAAAAAAAGAACAGATATGATCTTTAACCGAAAAGAATAAAAATTTACTGTGCTTCCTAGGGATGCCTTCAAAATTGTTACCGCTTGAATCTCTTCAAGCGCTTCAGGCGCTTTCTATATTTCGATACATATATGTCGCTCTGTATATCTGTACAGCATTCTCCTGTTCCTAAAACTCACAAGGATAAAAAATCAAGATTCGACGGGTCAATACGGAGCTATTACCACTTCCAGTAGAAAGTGTCAATATGGAGCTATTGCCACTTCCAATAGAAAGTGTGAATAAGGAGCTATGCTGATCAAAACAATTTCGTAACATCATACGATACCAGTTAAATATACATGTATGTTCTTTCTGTTATGTAACTACCTCATAGAAATGAAAAAAGAAAAAGAAGAAACGATAGACAGTGAACAAGCGATTTTTTTCCTAAATAAAAGATGAGAACGATACGATGTTGATATATGAGATGTACGATATATATTTATTGACGTGTAAGAGTAAGAATAAGATAAACCATAGTTTTATTTTTTAAGCAAATATATATCTACAATTAACATCAGACAAATAGAAAAACTGTATCAAATAACACCAATATACAGAAATAGATTGAGAAACACTTGAAGTTAAACACGCAATTTATTTTGAAAAGAAGAAATATGACCTTTGTTTGTTCTTTTTCGCTTTTGTATTACTTTTTAACGATCTCTATCTTTTGTGCAAATTTGATTAGAAATGAGAACAGTTTCTGTATGTTGAATAACGTGTTGTATATATAGCTAATAGATGACTGATTGTTGCTCGAAATTTTTCCACACAAAATGGTCTAGTGCCTTTAATTTTACCATCTACTGAACGTTGATCTATTTTATCGTTGTTATATAATGAAAATACGAGCATTTGAACAATATGTACTAGACCATCATCATTATTTTCTGAATCAGCAATTTGTTTCGCATTTAAATATTTACTTTTATCAACTGTAAATACATTTTATGGGTTGTTTGGATCAGTTAAGTTTAAGCACTATACAAATAAACGGACTATTACTAAAAATCAGATATCTATCAAACGTAACTAACACTCACACTAGGTTGTAAAATTGTTAGGATTTGAACAGAAGAAGAGCTTGAAGATGGGGGAGACCGTAATGTTGCCTAAAAGATAAAAACAGGTCGCATAAAAATTTAAGATGTTGAAGTACAGGTAATCCTACATTGTTGTATGTCGTAGATGGAAACGACGGATTTGCATTAGAATAACTTGTTGCATTTCTTATTTCATTATCTAATATGTAGCACAAACTGTATCCGTTGAATTTGGTAAAGGATTTATAAAAATTGGAGCAACGAACGTCAATGGTGATAAATAATTATCTGCAGACGTGAGAAACGAATTTGATGTAGCTGTTGCTTCGTTGTAATTAGACGTTACTTCATCGTTTTCTGATCGTCATCAATATCCTATGAAAAGTGAAGATTAGAGAAAAGAATGAGACATTCCATAAATTTATAAGAAAAATTTTTTAGAAAAAATTTGAACTAATTAGCAATAGTTGTCTGATGTCTCGTGATAGCTTGTTATAAACTACGCATAAGAATTTTACATTTCCGTATTTTTCTAATTTATTTACATGAAAATCATAAATATATTTCTGTATGTTATTTAAAACAGGTGCAAAATCCGTCTAAAAGATATAATAATCAACGAAATCAATTATGTTTTTTTGGACTAGATGATTATCACAATCCAACTAAATTTACCTGTCTTTCAGCATCCTTTTCTCTTCGATTATTTATCGACAGAAGCATATCAGCTAAAACATTCATTTTTTCAACACATTCGTGGTTACTTGTTTCAATCGAAGAAACTTACTTTCCTCCTTCTTCAACCGTCGCCGTTAATATTTTCAATTTTTTTTGTAATAGTTCAACTGCTGAAAATATGTCTTGAACAAACGTTAAAATTTGATCTTGATATCCAAAAACATTAGCTAATGCTTGATATGCATTATTTCCTTTTATTGATATACTTTTGAATTGAGTTCTTTGATCAACTGATATTCGACTTGATATTTTTACTTCAATTCTTCAATTGCTTTTATTTCTCCTTTGTAATGCCTATTTCCAAATTTAACTTGAACAATATCACCAACTGTGTACATCGATCTATCATTAATAATATCATCCCAAGGCAAATTAGCGCAGTATATTATATACATAATCAAAATAATATAAAACATACTTTTTCAAACCTAAAAAATGCACATATCTTTTTACTCTACATATTTAATCCTATATTGGCTAATATACGAAATATTCCGATATTCAGTACTTTTAATGTGAAACAATACAATATCTTTGATGATTTTATCGCAATTGGACTTCTAATTAGGATGCTCATTAAAGGGCAGGGAAAACAATGCGATTATTACACCATTTTCAAGAAGTTTATGATAAGCACTTATCATCTCTACTGCACTTGTTCTAAGATCAAAATCATGAAATTCCATCGTATTGAAATGCGTTTTTCTCCATCAAATCAAACTCTAAACTCAAAAGTAAAATGTGTATTAGCCCAAGCATGAAAAAATAAGCTACTAGCGCTCGCTGCAGCTAGCTACACTAGCTTCATAACCTGCTGCGACTAGCTATATAAAAATGTAAAAGTATTGTAGCGGATTGGAGGGGCTGCAGCTCGCTACTCTAGTTTCGATACTTGTTTCAGCTGGCTGCCTAAACGTACACATCATGCAACGGATGCTATAGCAGCCACTTCAGCTAGTAACGAATTGGCTAACACGATACTAAACTACTTGAAACTATTTGGAAATCGCATACAGCAACGTGGTTTTCCATGATGGAAGCATTTCTTAGAGTTGAAACTAGAGATAATAGTATGTAAAATTTAATTTCCAGCATTTTTTCATCTTGGCACAAATTTAGAGAAGCTCCTTTCAGGATAAAAAAAGCGATTTTTTATTATTTTCGATTTTTCACTATGAAGGAAGCGTTTTCGAACATTTCGTCTGGAGAACAAAATATTGAAAACCAAATTTTTGGTATTAGTGTCGCTGGGCAGCACTCTGAGAAATGATTCCTTCACGGGAAATAATCTTAATTGCACTAGTCTGATTAAACTTCTTTAAGTTCAATTCACTAGTTCATCAGAATGGAACAAATGTGTTCCTGTAGTACAGTGGCGTACGGAGAAGATTATTAACTTTTATATATAGAGTGCGAATCTCCGTAGAAAGATTTTTTTTTCCTTTGATTCAGTTTTTTTTCATTCTAACGGGTGGCGCAGAAATAATGGGGCACTTTTGTTTTCGACCTTGTGGTACTTAACAATCATTTTATAACCTGGTTCTAAGCTCATTTGGTAGAGAATTCATTTTTGAACAAAATTGTCGAATCCGTTTTTCAAATTAGTCTTTCTTGTGGGCGCAAAATTGCAAAGATTAACATCTAGTCGAAAGTCCATCTGCGAATACCAAAAAAACGAAAAAATGTATACAAATATTCTTAAACGATTCTGCTGAAATGTTAAGTGTGCCACGAAATTCTACATAAAATTCTGCATCTTTCGATGTAATTTTCAAAAGTTTAGAAGAAATATTTGAGAGGAAAAATTTTGAAGTGGAAAATGTGAAAACACCAAAAAAACTTATTTCTTGACAGACCTATGACATTGTTCTCTTTTAATTCGAAACAGCCAAAGTGATTTCAATGTTGAAGTCACAATTTATACCATTTTGTCCTGAATTAAATTCTGCATACGACGGTACGAGAGTCAGCGTTTCATACGACAAGTCTGTCTTAGAAAAACATTCTTTTCTGAAATGCGTCTAGAAATTGCACCAGGTGTTAGTTCGAAGACTTTTTCTTGTGAACAAGGGCAACAAGAACCTTGAAAAGGTAGTGGAAGTATAGAGCACAAAATTCTCTATCTATTGATGTTAAATACTCTAGTTTGAGCATCGGTTTTGATGAGCACACGCTTAAACAAATCGATTGATATCTGGAAAAAATAAGAATTCGCAAATGGACTATTGAGTAGGTGTTAATCTTTGAAATTTTGCGCCAACAAGAAAGACTAATCTGAAAAACGCATTTGGTAGTTTTGTACAAAACTGAATTCTCTATCGAATGAGCTCAGAGCCGGGTTTTACAACGATTGTTAAGTACCTTAAAGATAGAAAACAAAAGCGCCCCATTATTTCTGCGCCGCCCGTTATATATATATATAAACATGGCTACATATTTTCCATGTTCTGAAGTTAAAGAATGGGACTGGATGATACTCATTAGAAAAACTTTCATTAAAGCGTTTTAATAAAAGTACCGGAACTATCATTAAACATTTTTTTATTGAAAGTCTCGGTACCTTCATTAAAATGCCTCCTGCAAAGTGACTGTGATCTGGAGTTTTTGATGGCACAAGAATTTTATCGAAAATTTTAAGGAACTTCCTTTTAATGAAAGTCCGATATCCCAAAGGATGGCCGAGTTGGCGTCAATACAGAATTGTTATACACCAACATCACTGAAATCACGGTGACAGGTCAATTAGTCACAGGACTATTCGTCGCATAATTTTCTAATGAAAAAAGGAAAGGGCTAGCAAAAAACTGATGAGAGAATCGTTCCAAAATCGATCGTTCAAAAACCGAAGCTTTGGAGATCCGAAAATTAAAGTTGTTCAAAAAGATTTTCTGCGTAAACATTTTTTGTAGGCCGCATCAAACTACCTCGAGTTTGTAAATTTTAGACTTCCCACTGGAGTTTCAGTGGACCTATGAATTTTGGAACTTCAGGTTAGCATGATACAGTTCTCACTGTACGAGAGCTAAAAGCAGTTTTTTTGTCGTGAAAAAAGTTTAATGAGAATTTGACTTGTGCGTGAATCATAAATCATTTTGGCCATATGAGGCGCGTCCGCGGCCACTGGAATTCCAGTGCTCGTGAAGATCTCTAATCGAAAGACCATTGTTCGAAAGACTACTGTTCTATTGTAAATTTAAATTACTAATTTGCCAGTTTTACTGTTCGGCAAAAAACTCAAAAAAGATCATAGTTCCACTAAAACTCCAGTGAGAAGTCTAAAACTTATAGACTATAGGTAGTTTAATGCGGCCTAGAAAAATGTTTACTCAGAAAACCTTTTTGTGCTATTTTAATATTCGGATCTCTAAAGCTTCGATTTTTAAACTGAGACTTAGAAACTAAAATTGGGTCAAAATCGACTCTATATTCGTAACCAGCATCGTCTATTACATATAAGAACAGTAATTTCATAGCTACAACGATTAATCACTTGGAACAATTTCCTCGTCAGTTTTTTGCCAGCCCTTTCTTTTTCCATTAGAAAATTATGCGACGAATTGACTGCAACGAAGTGACCGTGGGACGAATAGATCTAGCACCGAAATCACGCATCTTTTAGCTATTAATTGGCGCTCTTTTGGAGTTTTTGATGTGATTTTACTTGGCTAAGCAATGTAAACGTGACAAATATGTCATTTTGTAGAGAAATGCACGTTCTGTTTAACGGTATGTTTAAAAAAAATTTCAATGTACTTTGCAGTTGGTAGATTTTCTGGAAAACCCGGAATTACAAAAGACCTATATCTCAGAAACGGGAGATAAGGTATTAGTATCTCAGTTGAGTCATATATTTCAAAGCGTGTAGAGTCCGAAGATGTGCATTGATGTCAACAAAACCGGGAAGAATATGGTTAAAAATAGCTTTGGGGATCAATCAAAAATCAAATAAGTGCCGTAATGCTTGTGAAAGATGACTCTTGGCAGACTTACAGGAGCAATGTAGACAATTAAAAACTACATTTCTAGATAGAACTAACGACGAGGAATCTGATACACATATTACTTTTGCGTTTAGAGTTCGATCTTGTAATGAAAAACGCATTTCAATATGACGGATTTTCATGATTTTCACCATCTTAGAACAAGTGCAGTAGAGAAATGAAGCATTTTGAAATGTTTAAACGAGCCATTTTATTCCTTATTGTCTCTAGGCTATATCCTAAAGTTTTCAGGTTTGTCGATTTTGTCATTTCTGAGATAATTCGGTATGAATTTAAAATCCCCAAATGTCGGACCTCCGCAGAACTCTATGCCAGTGTTTAAACATTTTTTAAATGACTCACTCTTACTCAGAGTTAAATGCTCTTTGAAATGAGATATGTCGGGATTTTGCGGCAAACGTTTATGTAAATGTGGAACAGTATCGAAAGAATTATCCGATTCATAAATCATAAGTCTTTGGAAAAGTCATTTTAAAACTCATCAATGACTATCTCCAATTATCATTTTACTCAATTTTTCTAGAATCTTGGCTAACAATTAAATGTCATTACCTCTTTTCAAATATTAGATAAACGTCATTGCATGATCATTAATATCAATTAAAGTTATGTTGTCGTTATTCTGAGAATTGCACACGATTATACTTCCGATGTTAGATACGAATGCTGTCAATAGAACTGATTGTCTTTTTTTCTCTTCATTCTCATAATCATTCAGGTACGGGTAAAAATGGAAACAAATACAACGTCACCAACGTTAATATCTACTCTATTCAATGTTCAGTTTCAATTATCCAATTATTTGATCATATATTTAGTTTTGGGAACAATCGGTAATTCTTTAAGTTGTATTATTTTTCTACAAAAATCTTTAATATCAAATTCCTGTTCAATGTATCTCTTTTCATCATCATTCACAAACATCTTCGTTCTTACTTTTGGCTTGCCGACAAATCTTTACTCGCTCTATTATACCAAAAGTCCAGTACTTTATTCTGTCGCTTATTGTAAATTACGCACATACATTATCCATTCGCTATTGATGGTGTCAAGGTATTTAATCGTTCTTGCTTGTATGGACAGATACACACTGTGTTCTCGCAAAGCGAAAATACGTCAGATTAGTCGTCCGATCATTGCACGACGTCTCATTCTCTTAATAGCTGTTATATGGTTCATTATACCTTTACATTTGCCGATATTCATGAGACCAGACGGACAAAAGTGTATTATGCCTGGTATTCATAGTTTATTGTGGAGTGTGTATGTTGTAATATTTGCAGCCGTCGTCCCGCTTGGACTCATGATTCTGTTCAGCTTTTTGGCCTACCAAAATCTCAGACTATTACACACACGAGTGACACCCGCTGGTCGAGAGCTCGTCCGACTCAGAC